TGTGTGTGTGTGTATATATATATATATCTATATATACATATTTGTGTATAGGTCTTCGGACCGAGAATCTTAATAGCGGCGATACTATCTGTCGCGGGGGACTAGGTATCCTCGAAAGAGAACGTCAATGGCGGCCCTCGAGTGTCCGGCGTCTCGTTAGCGACGATGACTCTTCCACTTTACGAGGCCCGAGTTCTGCGAGAGCTTAACCACGTATTCTCCTACGTCGCACGGTAGCCGAGTGTCGATTACATGTACGGTAGATATAAATAAACCGGGCGCGGAAATTAGTCTATAGAGCGGGTTTTTTCCCATGGTCCGCCAGCATGACTCTCGAAATTGACGAGTTCCATTTGGATCCAAGGCGTCATCGAGAGGTGAAGGCCTTCGTCACGAGTGTGCATAATGTCTCTTCTGCGATTTATTCGTCGTAGTCGTAGAACGTTGGTATGGTCGCCTCCCGTATTATTACAGCTAATTGTAGCGAATTACTCGTGGTCGATAATCGAAGAATTGTTTCTTCGTAATACGATTATTGGGACTTGTCTTTTCGTGATAACAGAACGTTCTATCGTCTTAAACACGAACCTAAATGCGTTAACTTTTTCCCCTCGTGTATAATATTTATCGCCGTTTCTTTGCATTCTAAAACGTTATTTAACTTTAGATGTAAATATTTTGCAATGACGAAAGTTACGTATACATCTTTTTTTCTTTACAAGTCAAGAGACGTCAAAACGAAGTAACAAGTTTTGCGGACAGCGCTTAGTTAGATCTCGCAATCGCATTACATAAATTTTGTCGTTCATTCCTTGAATTACCTTCCAGACTTCCGAGATTCTAGAATCAAATGAATCAAAGAATGTCAGTTATCATTAGCTTAATTTTCTTTCCTTCTGTCAAAAGATCACATTATTGTTACAAGATCTTGACTGAGAGGAATAAATATAGTCGTTTCGTTAATTAGGAAATTATCAATATATATGCGTGTACGCTTTGTAAGATTCGGTAACACGGAACAATAGTTTCGCAACTTCTATGAGCCCACTCCACGAGTTGCTTCTGCACTGTTATTAACAGGCGCGTTATCCACGGCTGAACGAGGTGCTACAACTCGTATAATACTCTTCCACACATCCCGGATAAACGAGACGAGGGGCCCATTGACTTCGTTCATTGATTTTACGTCAATCTGCAGAGAGCACCCTTACGAGAGTCTCCGTGATGCGTTTACCATAAGCGATAAGAGCGGCGCACGGAGAGAGGGGAATGGAACCGCGGAGGGTCGTTCGCTCGACACACCCCATGAAAGGGAAATAGAATAAAAATGACCCCCCATAGGAGCCGCATTAGGGACACATGGCCGGGCGACAAAGCTCGATTCCCTTCCAACCCTCCAGGATCTTAGGCATGTATACGATTACATAACGTTACATGCTCGCTACCCCTCGGATCGCTCAGGAGTTGGTATGAGGGGTTGGAATGTACACTCCCATACTACCCTTCGGCAATGGAAACGCCATTTTGTAAGTGGAGGATGATCGGCGGACGGACATAGTTTCCTTCTGAATTTTGTTCGCTCTTGATTTTATCAGATGGGAATAAAGAGATGTTCAAAGACCTGTTTATCAACTTTAATACATGATGTAATTCTAAACAAGTAGTATTACGTGTTACTTTGCATCACATTAGATTTGCAATGACCGATGTTAACACATGGCTTTTCGTAATACGCGAAATAATTTTTTTTTCTAATAATAAAGCGAAATACGATATAGAAATGTTTAAACTGACAATTCAAGATTCTTCTTCATTATACAATTCGTATAATATTATATAATATTTCGTGCAAAATATTGAAATGTTAATTCTTGATGATGAATAGGAATCGATTGCGCAATAATTGATTCGTTGTAACACGCGCGTTGACTCGCGCCTAATCCCTTTTCATAGAAACGTAAAGAGGATCTACAGCAGAACGAAGTGGCGAAACGGGAGGATCAGCCGCAGTCGCAAATGGACTGGACCGGGCGTGTTCTCTGGTAAAACCGGAGGATCTGTAGATCCGTATCGGGACGCTCTGTGGACACCTGTTGTGTTGTGTCACCAAACGCGCACTTCTCTAGGTTCGCGTTATCGCGTCCGGATTGAGTGAGTTCTCG